TTCAATACTCGCGTATTCGCGCATGTACGTACCCACACACCACCGATTTTGGAAGACACTGACGCTAGCGATTGGTATAGGCCACCGTCCGGGGACAACATTGCTAGTTTTAGGGCTATGTAAATATCCACGGACGGCCAGCCGGTACACAACAGTCCAAGCTCCAGTCGACCACAAATCAGGCAGGGACCGCGCACGTATAGAACGACAAACTTTTCAAAGCCGCCTCGGAATCAAAAAAAAAAAAAATATCGACGTAATCGTTACACCAATCGACCGAAACGAAAACGTTCGAGTCACGTTGGCTGGCGCTGTAAGCTAGCATGGCGAAGTTCTTCACGGAACAGCCAACAGCGTGCAGCAGCCACACAATTTTGAGATCCCGTGACCTATCAACAACCCGCCACCCGTACACGTTACCACTCGCACACACAATGGTTACCAGTCGGGTAGGTCGTTCGAGTAGGTACAACGTAGTCAGTGCCTAGCCGGGTGTCAGTTACATTGCCACCTTAAATGAACGACCTTTTTCAACGACCACTCTGGTCAAACGTGAAGCGCGTCGGCGTCGCGCTACCCGTCATACGCCGCACGCGCGGAGGTACGATCGGTGTTAATACCGAGTTCTACGCGGAACAAGGGCCGAGCACACCGTCCGGTTTTTAGCCAACACCGAGCCGTTACTCACGCAAGCGCGTAGACACTAAAACGTCCACACAATCACTTACGGAATTTGTGCTGATTTAAAACCAGCTCGCGCCCCGCACGTTAATACTGGCCTATCCGAATCGGAGTAGGTAGGTGTTATCGACCGGCGAACGCGCGACACTTTCCGTAGGTACACATATCCGGCTACATATAACATTTACGTTCAGCGTGCTTCGACGCATAGCAGGCGTTTTGACTTCGTGTCGGATAATATCTCCACCTACCTCTCGTCACCCATCATACCATATTTTCGGTAGTACGGACGGAGAAAAATTATGCCATCATCGCGCACGTAGTTCGGTAATTCGTTACGACGAAAAACCAACTACGAATTTTTCCGTCACCTGCACACCACCTATCGGCACCCACTCTTAAATCCCAAACCTACACCACCCCACCATCCACCACACTCACCTCACCGGTGACACGTGTGGTCAACATCAACGGCTTATGGGGCAGCCGCAGGTGTAGGGACAAAGGTAACAGAGCCACGGGTGTTCACCTGCAAAGGTGACGGGGGCGCAAGCACACCAACTTCGCACACCCCCGCATTATAGGTCATTCTGTATACGTAAAGCATCAGGCGAGCACCGAGACAACCGACAGGGACAGTTTGGTCATGGCGGTCAACACCGACCACCAATCAGTCTCTGTCGCGGTTCAGAACCAGTTGCCCCGCTCGACCGATTGCAATACGTCTAATAACGTCACACGTTATATATTTTGGTCGCAATATTAATAATATTATAATACATAATTTGTGACATTCTTAAAGTGTTTGTGTTGTGTTTTTTTCATCACCTCAATTGTTCATCCTCGGTAGTATAGTGGTAAGTATCCCCGCCTGTCACGCGGGAGACCGGGGTTCGATTCCCCGCCGGGGAGCCATTTGACGCGGACACGATGATGCTTCAAGGTTGATCGTGGTCCGGTCGAAGGGTTTGGTTAGGATTGAGGTGATGAAAAAAACACAACACAAACACTTTAAGAATGTCACAAATTATGTATTATAATATTGCGACCAAAATATAATAATACATGACGTGCCGCTCGGGCAGATGAGTTTAACGTCGGACGATATGTTATCGGTCCGACGGTCCGATGGTGCCATGGTGGATCTCGAATCGTCTTTTCCGCCGACCGTTGTACGTCTTAAGCTGCGTTTACACATGAGCAAAAGCACGGTCGAGCCGTAGTGAGCGCGAGCAAGACATGAGCACTGTGCGCATTGTGTAAACACTTAGGCGAGCTGCCCGGAGCCGCTCTAACTGGCTCAACATTGTTCACAAGAATTAAATTCCGTTGATAGTTGTTCATTATCGACTTAAATAGTTAAACGTCACATTCAGTATTTTTGTACTCAGTTACCAATCAGTTTTAATTTAAAATGGTCAATAACGAGCTAGTAAAAAAGCGCACAATCATCGCAGGTGCCACATTCATAATTTTGAATTCACTTATCAAAAAAAAAAACAAAAAAGACGTTGGTGGATCACTCAATTGTTTAAGAACAGGGATGAACATGGTGGACTAAGTTTAATTAATGATTTACTGTTTCAAGAGAGTGGACAGTTTGAAAATTTCGTTCGCATGGCTTATTCTGATTTCAAGTATTTAGTATCACTGATTCGTCCACAAGTCGAAAAAAAAACCACGCATTGGAGGAAACCCATAAGTGTAGAGGAAAGATTAGCCGTGACTTTACGTTTTCTGGTCACCGGGGACTCGTATACTAGTCTACAATACACATTCAAAATCTCAAAGTCTACAATATCTAGTATCATACCAGAAATATGCATTGCATTGACAAAAGTGCTGTCAGACTCGATTTTCTATAAAAATATCAATAACATTTTATTTGTTGGGTAAAAATTCTTGAAAATTTAATAGAAGGCTCCTAATATATTGTTTTAAAGGTAGATGAAAAATATTTAAAATACATAGACACAATTTTTTTATAATCATTTAAAGTTAAAATTTAAATGAAATTTATCAAATTGAGTATTTACAAATTATTTAGTAGTTAAAAAATTATAAAATGTTCAACTTTTATAGCTAAAGATTAAAAATTTAAAACAAGGTTCCACGTAATAAGGTTATATATAAATCACTTTATTCACAATAATATCATCAAATATACTTAGTAATTTAAATATATCATAGGCTGACTGACCGTCTTCGCTCAGAATCGTTTTTCGTATACAATGATATTATATCATTGAATTCAAATTTAATACCATCCATTATACAATGACCTACTGTACAGCAGAGCGACATCAACTTGCCCACCTTTTTTTTTGTTGCATATTATAGTATTTTTAGTGCATATTAAGCGCTTATAACAACCTTTTTTAGAGCTATAACTTATTAGCCTTGATTATTATTAATGATATTTTTTTTGAAACTATAATTACAGTCAATAAAAATGTATTGTATAAAATGTAATATAAACATATTAGGTATATAATATAATATATATTAATATTTATATATGTGATTTCATATATACGGATATATATAACAAAGACAATTTAAGTACATACCTATAATATTAATATTTAATATATTATAATTATCAGTCACATAAAATGTGCATATTAATTAATTGTACACTACGTAACTATTACATATTATTTTTGTAAATAATTGTATTATAAATAATAATTTTATTAATTGTTGAAAATTACAACAACAAAAAAGGTGCTCTGCTGTACAGTAGGTTACAAGTGGGTCACTGTATAGTGGATGGTATTAAATTTGAATTCAATGACATAATATCATTGTATAAGAAAAACGATTCTGAGCGGAGACGGTATGTCAGTCTAGGTATAATACATAATATGATATACTAATCTAAGGTATTAAAAAATATTGACCTATAATAGGTAGGTACCTATAATAAATTCCAAATTAATCATAGCACAATATCCATTAGGATAACTTAAAACGCGTTATACATCAACAACAAACCCTGATACTATCATAGATGTATAATAGTGTACTTTAGAAGTTTCAAGTACCCACGAATGATATTATACAATCACAACAAAATAACTATAATAGTTATTCTAGGTTTTTTATTATGTGATTTCGTCCAAATTTGAAATTAAAATGACTATAAAAATAAACTGTGATTATGTATTTTTTTGATTTTTTGGTAACAGAATTAACTTTAACTACAAAATAATTGTTCAATTTTAAATTTGATAAATTTTGTCAAAATTCGATCTTTAAATGCTTATAAAAAAAAAATTGTGCCTATGTATTTTTAATATTTTTCAACTGATATTGTAACAATATATTAGGAGCCTTGTATTAAAATTTTACACTTTTTGGCCCATCAGATAAAACTTTATTGATATTTATAGAAAAAAAAATTATGAAATTGAAGACTGAAAATGTCAGTAAACAGCTCAAAAAGAGTCAAAATATTTTCAAAATTGTATGGTGTATAGGAAATGCTAATATAAACATTCAGTGAAATTTTCATGTATCTACATTATTCGTTATTGAATTACAACAAAATAAGGAAATCGCTACACGAGAAATCGAGTGAATATCCAATGTTGTAGAAATTTGAATTTCAAACCCTCATAAAAATTTAAATTGACTTTCCGGTAGAGATTTTTTCATTGATAAAGGTAGACAAACTTATGAGTTATCTTGTATTACATTTTCAAATCTTGGATTTAAAAAGAAAATTTTTTACGAATTCTTAACTCAAAATAATTTGCTAATTTTCGTGATTTTTCCATATTTTGTCAATTTTTGAACTTTAAATGCTTATAAAAAAAAACTGTGACTAAGGATTTTTAATAGTTTTCATTTGCATTTGAAACAATATACTAGGAGCCTTCTATTAAATTTTAAAGCTTTTTTATCCAACGAATAAAATTGTATTGATATTTTTAGAATAAAAACTAAAAAAATATGGAAAATGAAAATGTCCCTAAACAGTTCAAAATAAATCAAAATATTTTGAAAATGTTATCGTGTATAGAAAATTCATATATAAAAAACCAGTGAAAATTACATGTATATACGTTTATTTGTTTTAGAGCAGGGATGGCCAACCCAAATGATCTTGCGGGCCACTTCGTAAATACATCACAATCTTGCGGGCCACATATAGGGTTGCCAAAAAAAAAAAGGTCATCAGCCAAAATATTAATATAAGTAATCACATATTTTATTCAAAATTAGGCCACATATAAAAATATAAAAGAATTTAAAAAAAAATTAAAATATATAAAAGTTATAATAAAAGTATTTAATACAAAAAACATTACTATTTAGTGAGATATTTGTTTCTCAACTCGTTCACTAAGCTTTTTCAAATCAATATAAATACTTGTATTTGCACACCGTAATTGATGTTGCAGGTTTTCATCTGTTAGGTTTGTGCGTGATTTATCTTTGGCGAATTTCATTTTCGAAAAAAACGATTCACAAGTGTAAGTCGATCCAAAAGCACTCACAAATTTTTGTGCCAGATTTCTCAAATTGGGAAAATGTTCTTTTGTGATATTAATATTATAAAAATCTATTTTTGATTTTGATGTTTCAAAAATGTGTTTTAATTCATTATTGCATTGTAAGTCAATGAGTTCCATCTGAAGATATTCTGGGGCCGAATTGACATCCGTATGAAAAGGAGATGAATATACTTCAAATATTTTCTTGTATTTGTCTAAATTAGTGAAACGACTTTCAAAAGCAGCTATAAGTTTCCTTATTTCTTGTGCATATTTTATGCTATCGATATGTTTGGAATTTTTCAATTCGTTTAGCAATGGAAAGTGTTGAACGTTATTATTTTTTAATTGAAATTCAAATAACAACAATTTCTTCTGAAATGCATTGATGTAATTACATGAGTCAATTATTAAATTATCTTTTCCCTGTAATGATATATTTAATTGGTTCAGTTTTTCGACAATATCCACTAAAAAGCATAAATCTAATAACCATTCATCATTACTTAATTCTAATACTGGTTTTTGTTTATCATTCATAAACAAGTCAATTTCATGACGTAACTCATAAAATCGCTTTAAACATTTTCCACGACTTAACCATCTGACATGACTGAAATATACTACGTCACCATATTCTGAATCCAATTCTTTCAGGAACTCCTTAAATTGTCGGTGGGGAAGCGCATGTGATCGAATGTAATTCACTGTTTTTATAACTACTTGCATAACATGGTTCATCGATAATACTTGAGAACATAAATTTTGTTGATGAATCAAACAATGGATTATAAATAAATCATCTCTTTTCCAGAAATTATTAGTTTTTCTGGTAGATTCTATTTTATCGATCAGTAGTTTTATAGCTCCTTTTTCTTTGCCAACCATAGCAGGTGCACCATCAGTTGATATTCCAGAAATAATTTCCAAATCCAAATTGTTTTCGCATAAACTGTTTTCAACAGCGTGAAAAATATCTTCACCTTTTGTAGTTCCTTTCAAACTTATCAATTTTAACATTTCTTCAGTTATTTGAAATGATTCATTTACTCCACGAACGAATATTACAAGTTGAGCTGTATCTGATATATCTGTACTTTCGTCAAATGCAATAGAAAAATATTTAAAATCTTGAATTCGATCGCGTAGTTTTACAATAATTTCGTTTGAAATGTCATTAATTCGACGACATACTGTTTGTCGGGATAAACTTATATTCGAAAAAAGTTTATTTTTATCAGGTAAAATATCCTTTGCTACAGCTTCCAAACATTCTTTCACAAATTCACCATCTGAAAATTTTTTCATTTATTTTGCAATCAAAAATGAGACAGAATAACTTGCTTTAACGATATTAGATGGTTGCTGTAATGCTGAACTAAACATTTTTTGTTGAGTTTTTAATTGTGACGTAAATTCCCTGAGCTTCGATTGTTTCACTTCACTACTAAATTTCAAATAATCATTATGTTTTGTTTCATAATGCCTTTTAACATTATATTCTTTAAATACAGCTACTGTTTCTCGGCAAATCAAACACATTAATTTTGTGTTTTGAATTATAAAAAAGTACTTTTCTTCCCACTCCTCACTGTACTTTCTATTTTCGTCTACTATTTTTCTTTTCTTTGCCACACTCATATTAAAAAAAAAAAATACAATAATAAAAAAAGTACGTACTAAAATATTTTTCCACACTGAACGCACTTCAACAGTCACAGCGAACGAACAGATTATGACTGTTATTAGCCACGTTTTATTTTAACAATTCGATTTGCTATATTCTTAGATCATATACTATGGATGGAGCCACTGCATATTATTTTGAAGCCGATATTAGCGACGAGTCACCGAATTAGGTGATCGATATGCGCATGCGCGAAACAACTCGTTTAATATTAATATTATAACTGTCCCCATCCCAGCCGAGTCACAGAATTAGGTGTTCGATATGCGCATGCGCAACGCAACCTCTCGCATATTTATCAGCTGGTGATTATAATATTAATATTAAACGAGTTGTTTCGCGCATGCGCATATCGATCACCTAATTCGGTGACTCGTCGCTAATATCGGCTTCAACTTTTTGTATTGCTATAATACGCAGTGGCTCCATCCATAGTATATGATCTAAGGCTATATTACTATAAGCTGGTGTCTACTCGTATATATACTTTTATCAGATTAGATTAGAATTATTACTTTTGTTGCGATTACGTTGTTAATAATACAGATACCGCGTTGCACGGGCATTCCAGAATATTCTATCGGCGCAAAAATATTTTTTTTTGTAAATATTTGATATATGTCGCGGGCCGCAAAACTTTCCAAGGCGGGCCGCATGCGGCCCGCGGGCCGCGGGTTGGCCATCCCTGTTTTAGAGTTACACCAAAAACCAAAATCAATTTTTTGGAAAACAGATTTTGCGTAAAAATTCTCGTTTTCCCTAATTTTTATGTGGTTTTTCCCGGTCCTTGTATAAACTATTGGGAATTTTAAATTTTGACCCGTCCAATAACCAACGATATTCACTTTCCTATCAGAAAAGATACTGTTGAAGAAAATCGAAGCATTATTTCGACTACTTATCGTGTACACAGACACAAAAATAAAAAAATAAAAATCACACATTGTAAAGTCAATACATTCATCGTTTCACTCAGAATAAAAAAAATAAAAATACTGTACAAACACTAAGTTTAGAAGACTTCGTCAGGAAAACTATATTAACTATACCTATTATTTGTATTATTATATAATAATAATTACACTTTACCATATTATTCTAAATATTAATTAATTAATTAACTTGAATAATTGTATATCTATTTATGTTCTACATTAACAAATCTCTATAGGTACCTATATTAATATATTACATTTATTTTTAACTATTATTACAATATCAACTTAAAACTTACATTTATGGTTTTCCTCGGTTCGTCTTATAATATACTTATTTGATCAAAATATAAAATAACTTTTATACTTATACTATAATAAATAATGATGATATTAGTGCACACTTGCCAATGTTAGCAATGTATGTACCTACTTATTATTTAGTTAATTTAATGTAGGTAATAACTAATAACTATAAAATAAATTAATATAATAAGTAGTTATTAATTGGTTACATATCTTCATCATCGTATCATATATAAATTCAATATTTACATCCGTATACAATTATATAATTGCTATTCTCGACGAAGTTTTTTTAAATAAAATAATAATTAAATACAGAAGCACTGGATTTGGCTCAGGAACGTGAAAAAGCCGTTCGAATATGACGAACGAATTTGGCTCAAATATTAATTAAATCCTTTGAGCACGACACCAAGACCGACAATCGCTGGCTCGCGGTTTTCGTGGCTCGCGAGCGAAAAAATTCAAACCGAGCCGCTCAGTGCTCACTCGTGCTCGTGCTCATGTGTAAACGCAGCTTTACGCGACACAGTCCCCCCGTCCCGCCTTGCCGTTACCGGCTCGGTGGGAGAGTCAACACGGTCGCGCTGCTTGCATCCCGTGGTGGTGGTTGGAGATAAGATAGACTGGTCGCTATAGTGCTTGTACATTGTACTTGCTACTAACGCGGACCGCGTCACTACTTATTAGATCTTCTTGATTTTTTTTTTAAACGAAAGTGTATTTCATAGAGAAGGTTTATATGAATGAACGTTTTAGGAAAATCGACCTGTGTATTATATTATATTGGTTGCTATCGGTTAATCGGTCATGATTGTTGATTTGTATTATTATTTTTTATACATATATATAATTTATACAATAATATCTGATAAGTAGTTTCAGAGTTTAGCAAAGGCGCACATTGGGTGTGAATTTAGGGGGTGCTGGGATAATTTATGGTTCGCAGATCCGTGGGGGGCTTTGCCCCCCACACCCCCCTCATCCTAATATTTCTGCATTGCATTAGATTTAATTTGTATAGTGTATACCTACAATAATTTCTAAAATGCAATGTATCAAATAGTCTGTATGATTGTAAAGAAGACGCTAGGTATACCCACATATTGTGTTATCTCCGTATTACAGACGTAGGTACAACATAGGCAAAACTGTTTTGCACGGGTATAAGAAACATTCAGGCTCTACTCTAAGCTAAGAAACTAAATGTTCACACTATAAAAATGAGAAAATTTACTCTGTAACTTTGTTTTTATATTTCCGATATCAAAACCAAAATAAAAGTTATTTTAGTTTGATAAACAAAAAAAGGTGCTCTGCTGTAAAGTAGGGTACAAGTGGGTAACTGTTTAATCGATGGTATTAAATTTGAATTCAATGATATACTAACATCATTGTATAAGAAAAACGATTCTGAGCGAAGACGCCAAGACGGTTAGTCAGCCTATGATATTACTAAGTATATATGATGATACTAAGGTGAATAAAGCAATTTATATATAACCTATTTACGTAGAATCTTGTTTTAAATTTTCAATCATTAGCTATAAAAGTTGAACATTTTATAAATTTTTAAGTACAAAATTATTATTAAATTTTAAATGTGATAAATTTTGTCAAAATTTGAATTTTAAATAATTATAAAAAAAAATTGTGCCTATGTATTTTTAATATTTTTCAAGTGTTATTGTAACAATATATCAGGAGCTTTGCATTAAATTTTCAAGCTTTTTTACCATACAAATAAAATTTTATTGATATGAATAGAAAAAAAAATTAAAAAAATAGAAAACTGAAAATGTCCGTAAATAGCTCAAAAAGAATCAAAATATTTTCAAAACTATATGGTGTATAGGAAATGCTAATATAAAAATTTAATAAAATTTTCAAGTATCTACAGTCATTCGTTTTTTAATTACAACAAAATTAGAAAATCGTTACATGAGAAATCGAGTGAATATCAAATGTTGTAAAAATATGAATTTCAAACGTTCATAAAAATTTAATTTGAGATTCTTGTAGACATTTTTTTTTTGATAAAGGTAGTCAAACTAATGAGGAATCTTGCATTACATTTTCATATCTTAGATTTAAAAAGAAAAATTTTTATGAATTTCTAACTCGAAATAATTTGCAAATTTTCGTCATTTTCACGTATTTTGTCAATACCTATTTGGAATTTAATTGCTTATAACCAAAAACTGTGACTAAGGATTTTTAATATTTTTCATCTGTCTTTGAAACAATATATTAGGAGCCTTCTATTAAATGTTTAAGCTTTTATACCAAACAAATAAAATTTTATTGATACTTATAGAACAAAAAACTAAAAAAAATGGAAACTAAAAATGTCCGTGAAAAGCTCAAAATAACTCAAAATATTTAGAAAATTTTATCATATATAGAAAATGGAAATATAAATAACCAGTGAAAATTTCATATATCTACGGTCATTTGTTTTAAAGTTACACCAAAAACCAAAATCAATTTTCTCGAAAACAGATTTTGCGTAAAAATTCTCGTTTTTCCTTAATTTTTCTTTTGTTTTTCACGGCGCTTTTGAAAACTACGGTGATTTTTGCTGCTGACCCCCCAAAGTACCAACTAGATTCACTTTCCTATCAGAAAAGATACTGTTGAAGAAAATTCAAGCACTTTTACTGTCCTAAAAGATGATGACAGACAAAAAAAAAAAAAAAATGAATTCGTGAATGCGTAAACAGTTGTCAATATTTGTAATGAAAAGAAAAATTCCGAACCAATGAACCACGATAGTTTATAAATGATTGGTGAAATACTGACATTATGGACTGCGTGGGTCTATAATATATTAAACAATGCATAAATAGCACAAAATAGTTTACATATATATTTGTCATTAAAAATTATAAAAGTAATGAATAAGTTTAAAAAAAATTCAGAATCTGTGGAACACCACTGATCCTTATTATGGTTTAAGTGTTAAACTGTGTCATTATTATTATTATTATTATCAAATTATTATTTGTTTTAGAAAAATGTAAATACAAAGTTCTTTGAACAATTTTGACTTTGGAATATTCAAATTGTAACAATTAGTAATTTAGTTATTG